TTGGGTCTCTGTTGAGAATCTCTGTAGGAGTGGTTTATAAATCCACCCCCCTCAAAAAAAACCCCAAACAAACAAACCAAAACCAAACCACAATCAGGATCAGGATTTACTGAGAGCCAGTTAAATGGATTTAGTTCACTCAGCCTGCTTGCACAGGTATTGATCCGAAATAACCCTTAAGCTTATGTCCAGTTTTAAAGAGAAGAGCTGTCTAGAAGGTGGTAAAATTAACCCTGTGCTTAAAGCTGAGCACATGGACAAATGTTTTAAGGACTGACATAATAATAATATTCCTTAGTGATTTTTATTCCTGGAAATTATTACTGTTCACTAAAAAACCACAAATGCAACAATAATATGAGCAAGATTAGTAGTTCCCATCCTATAAATTTTGCTTAAAAACCCTAGAATAAAATCTGCCATCATTTAAGACCTGACCCAAGGTCCATGGAAGTTTGCAAAAAGCTTAAAAAAATTTCTAGTGGGTCTTCAATTATGTGCTCAATAATTGAACCATGATCAATAACATGTCATGGATTTATAGGACAAAGAGAAGAACTCAACAAAAAAACCTGACCATTCATTCTATTTAGAAATCAAAGCACAAAATTAGCAGTAAAGCACTTGGCAGTACTTCACAAATTGTCACTTGAAAAAGTCATTCAGATAGACTTGGATATGAATGTGGTTGCCTGGACAGGGTGTCTGGGAAAGGGATATGAGTTACATGCAAAGATAACTGAAATTCCAAGGGAAGAAGTCGTTCAGTGGGTAACTGTGGAAAAAGCTTTAGACCTGGGCTGAAATTATCAGGACCACCCTGGTGACTTAGGTGTCCACATCAATACTGGATGGCAAATTGGACACTTCCCTTCAAATCAGGGGTTTGACTTTCTAAAAGATGGCAAATTCTCCTTGCCTCATGACTCGTGTTCACAGAGCTGCTACTACACCTGCAGGTCAATATTTTAGTTACGTGCCCAGAGAAACTTCCGTGCTGTTTCTCTGGATTTTTCCCTCCTGCCATTAATACACCCCATTCAACACTTGAGTTGCTACCATGAGGTCCTAATCCCTTCCAAGTCCTTGGTAGATGGTTCCAGAAATCTATAGAAGATTTAAAGCAAGCACAGTTTTGGGGATGGGGCAGCCACAGCTTCTCTGGGCAACCTGTGCCAGGCTATTTCCCTTCTGCATCTTCCTGTACGGCTCCTTCCTGTGATTTTTGACTTAAATGCTGTTTAATGTCATCCTGGATGTCAGGATAGGTGAGCACCCTTCACTGTGGAGATCCAGAGGTGTTCAAATCAAAGGACTAATATTTGTCACTGCAGCTGACAAACTGCTGCTGGATAGCACTGACACTTGCTTTAAAATCTCTCTTCCCTCACAGTAAATGTCATGTTCTGGATGGAAGTGCCTGGTTTCCTGGCTCTTTCCTTTTCTGTTCTTTTCTGTCCTAATTAATTCTCCAGATTAATTAATTGGCTTGCCACTCATATGTGAGGGACTCTAAGGAAAGGTGGCCAAAAGCAGACTGTGAGATTAATTATCTGGCCAGCTGGAAGCAGCTTGTGCTCTGCAGGCTGGGCATCCATGTCTAAGGGAGTGATGAATTCCATCAAAGACTTAAAAGAAGGACAAAAAGAGGATACATACTCCTTTTCTGTCAGGATCACAACCTCATTTGCAGACCACTTTCCTCGTCTTCCAGCCCAACATGAACCAACAGATTAAAAGCAAGAACCTCCTATGAGGGGAAAGGCATTTGGGCTAATTGAGAGAGATTTTTGGCACTGGCAGTCAAGTGCTGAGAAAACATGAATCTATCCCATAAAGAAATTAGTTTTCCCTTAAAATAATGGAAAATATTTTGTATTTACCTGTATATACGTTCACCACAGGTAAATACACATTTATATGTTATCGTTTACCTTTTGTCCCATGAGATTGTTGTGGATTTTTTTGATTTCTTTATTTTTTTTTACAGACCTATTGTGCTCTGCAAATTCAAAACCCTACAAATCCTGTTAGGCAAAGGAAAGTGGCATGGGCTGAGAAGCACAAGGCCAGCATTTCAAATTAAGTGTGTCCTGTCAAGGGGCAGTCTCAGGTGCTCGCAGCACCAAGTGTGAGCTGTGAAAATGAAGTTGTCAACAGTGACTGAAAAAAACCCACTAAAGCAGTTTACAATAGAAATGACAAATTGGGTGCAAGGCAATCAACCATTTCTGGGCTGGGCAGGGGACAGGATAAACCAGCAAGACGACTGAGTAAGGTTGAGCACCAATTGAGGCCAAGGAGCTGAAGGGCCACCCACTCGGATCAAACGGGAAAGCGCTAATGGGAAAGACATTTTGGAAGTTAAAAATACAACCAATTCCTTAATCTGGGAACACAGAGCTGTAAAATAACAGCTGTACAGCAGGGCAGAACAAAGTTTTCTTTGGTGGCTGAATGAAAGGTGGTTGAATGGAAAGACACCGTCTGCTTTATCAGAAATAGGCTCTGCCAGGCCCTCGGCCAGGACGGTTCCGTGGGGAGAAAGGCAGTGTCACATTCCTCCAGGGTGGCAGCACAGCTCTGTCCCACAGGCCAGGGCAGCAGTCTTCAAAGTAACCATGAAATATTAGACGTTTTAAAAGGATTTCCCACTATATTGATGTTGTTCCCATAACACCAGCCAAGGAGTAGGAAGGCAGCACATCAAAACACATTTGCATGCACTTGGGAACAGGCGCCTCTTCTGTACCAGATAATGCTTTCTGCTGCCTGTAAAGGCAACATTTGGGCTGCAAGTCCATGGAAAAAATCTTCTTGTGGCACCTGCACCAAAGGCAGGATGCTGGGAAAGCAGCCCTCATCGCTGCTGGTGTTTGAAGTAATTAATGAAATCCAGGGGCGTGTTGAACCCTGGAAGGATGAATTCTGCCCCAGTGCCACCCTGACCATTTCCACTGCTCCAGGGACAACACCTGGCCCCGTGATTTAGGATTGCTGGGACTGTCCATGAGCCAGCAGTGTGCCCCGAGGGCCAAGAAGGCCAGTGGGATCCTGGGGGGCATTGGGAAGAGCACTGACAGCAGGTCAAGGGCAGTGATCCTGACCCTTTAGTCAGCCCTGTGAGGCACATCTGGAGTGCTGTGTCCAGTCCTGGGCTCCTCAGGACAGGAGGGACATGGAGCTCCTGGAGCGGGTCCAGCAGGGGTTATGGAGATGATTCAGGGACTGGAGCATCTCCCTGAGGGGGAAAGGCTGAGGGAGCTGGGGCTGTTCAGCCTCCAGAGCAGACACTGAGAGGGGACCCCATCCATGTGTGTCAGGGGCTGCAGGGAGGGGGCAGAGGATGGCCCAGGCTCTGCTCGGGGGGCCCAGCAATGGCACAAGAGGAACGGGCAGGAACTGATGCCCAGGAAGTTCCAGCTGGGCATGAGGAAGAACTTCTTTGCTGTGCAGTGACCCAGCCCTGAACAGACTGCCCAGAGAGGGTGTGGAGTCTCCTGACTGGGGATATTCCAGAGCTGTCTGGACACAATCCCGTGCCCTGTGCTCTGGGATGACCCTGCTGGAGCAGGGAGGTGGCACCAGATGACCCCACTGTGGTCCCTCCCAGCCTGACCCACTCTGTGATTCTGTGATTCTGTGACTGCAGGGCTGACCCCAGGCAGAGCAGACGTGAACTGTCCCCCAGTTCAGGCTGATTGCAGAGCACCTGTGCACTCCAGAAGTACAACGGGTGCAGTGCAGGCAAGGAGTTAAATATTCATCTGTCAGGGGCTCCTCTGTTTGACAGTGAGGACTGGCAACACTCAGAGAACCACAGAAGAATCCCAGGTCACAAGATCCAAGAGACTGCAGGCTCAGGAGCTGAAAACACCCTTAGCACTTCCCCAAGCATCCCATTTTGTAGCAGCACAGGACACAGTCACTGACACTCTCTGCATCTCTGCACTCTGCTTTCTGCCAGCTCAGTGCTCCCCACTACTACAGCTTTTAGATTTTTCCTTCAAGCTGTGGGACACAACAGAACAACAACAGTTTCTGCAGTTTTTTATCTTACACTCTTCCTAAATCCCCTGCAAAGCTTGGAGGAGGCACAAGGCAGAAAAAGATCGTCATCTTACAGCGAAACAAGTGACTGCTTTAGGACATGGTGGCTGCTGCTCACATTTTTCCCTGGATAGGCTGCTGGAGTGCTGGAAGGAAAGGGCAGATTCTTGAGCTTACTTATGAATTTCCTGCAGACTAACCACATTCATACAAGAAGACAGTGTAGATCCCCTACTGCTTCATCAAACATTAATTTGTAGACAAGCCTGTCAGCTCTTTCAATTAAAACTTCCAATTTGTGATGGAAATCAGGCATCCAATTTTTTTTTCCTTTTCTTGCAAATACTTTTCCTTATTATTCTGAAGTAATTATTCCAATGTCGTTATTATTCCAGTATCATCATTATCCCGGTGTTATTACTCTTCAGGCAGTAGCTTCAAACCATTCAGTGGCATCAATATTTTTAGCTGACATAATATGGTTTGTATCAAGGGTGGCAACATTTACTGCTGCTGTTTAGTGAATCACAGAGATCTGAGAACGGCATCCATTGACATCTGTTTGACACATCACATCCCTTTTAGCCACTGTTCCTCTTATTACCTTCAGCTGCTACCTCTGCCTTGGATTTTCAAATCCAAGAGCACTGAACTTTTTCTATGCAACAAACAGGACACCTGCCTTGCACCTGTTTCAAGCATTTACAAATGACAGCGAAGCACTGAGCTGCCTGAGCTGGAGGGGGAAAACCAAAAATATTGCTTCAGATTGCAAGAGAAGGAGCCTGCAGAAGGCTGCTTCATCAATGTAACCTGGCAAAAATGCTGCATCCTGGAACAGACCCTGCTCTTCAGTACTGGCTGAAGAATAGAGACAATTTTCAAGACCAGCAAATGACGTGCTTCAGCATTCTCGCCACGATCAAACGCAAAAGGCAAGTCAGACTTACCCCTGGATGAGCCTTTTTTTTTTTGATCCCACGTGTGAGATGCAGGTATCAGAAGCAGAGGGCTGTGGAAAAGCACGGCAGGTACCAGTTGGGGAGGCAGAACAGGCTCCCAGCAGTCGGCACTTGCGAAAATGGCTACGGAGAGACCGGAGCAGTTCTGCTCTGCAGAGCTTAAAGGGCCAGATTTCCACGAGCACACCGGGACAAAAACCTGTGCAAGAGCACAGTTCTCCACTGGGAGAAGGCAGGCCCCAGCCCAGGAAATATTTAAGCGTGTCCTTAGCTCTAAGCATATGAGTTCTCCTTTTGACCTCAGTCTGTGCAGTCCTGCACAGGCAGGTGGATAAAAGTCAGCAGGACTGTATTTACTGACACCACAAAGTTACCCAGGAGTGGGATGCTCCATCACAGTGCTTGGTACAGCTTCATCACAAAAGCAGGGGGGTAGCATGACAGTTAATTCCCCCTCTGGTGAGATTCTCTGATCAGTGATTAGCGTTAAGGAACATTCTACAAGTCCGGAAACTAAAACAAAAAATAATCAAAATGTGCCCTAAGAGGTCTCAAACCATTACAACAAACATTGCTTATTTGTTTACTCTGACATTTCTAGTTTTTTTCAGCATAAAACCCACAACAGATCCCCATCTAATTGAAACAATTTCAAAGCACTTTGGACTGGTCAAAGTAAGTGAAAATACCCTCAGTTATATTTCCAGTTTCTCTCTCCTCTATAAATGGCAAATGAAAAATATTTTGAAATGAGAGCAGAAACACCCCAATGACAGGGCACAGGTATGATTTGTGGGCTCACCACTGGCAAAGTCATCTCCTGCATCCACTTTCTGCTTCCATTTTCTGCTCCTTATCAAAGGAATTGTAACGTTTTCCTCACCTGCAGCATTTGGTGATAATACTTATCATGGTTGATAAGCATTTCAGCTTCTAGCACTTACTCCTGGAGTTCCCTGGATGGGAAGGAGAATTTCAAGGCACAAGACACCAAAATCATATCAGAGTGCTTTAAAGGAGAGTTTCCTCTTAGCCTTGCTGCCCAGGCTGCAGAGGACAATTGGAGCCTATACAGTGTGCCCAGACCTTTGTCCACCACAAAGCCCCCAAACAACATGTGTGAGGGCTCCTTTCAGTCATGAGAGGTGGCATCGTGACTTTGGGACAGTCAGGAGGGTATTTCTGCAGTTATGGGTTATAAATAGGCCACAAATCTGGTCTCAGGCTTGCTTTGAAATAGCTGTTCTATATCATAGAACCATAGAATGGTTTGGGTTGGAAGGGACCTTAAAGTTCCAACCCCTCTGAAAAAAAAAGATATGGGTTTGTTGCTGGTATTTACTTGTTTATATTAAATAATACAACTATTTAAATGCTGGCAGAATCAAAACCTTAGTTTTTTGCCTATTTTTCCTTATGATTAGAAGCTAATCTTAGCTGTTTTCCAAATGCCATCATTTTCCTCCTGACACTGAGTTTAATCCATGTTCTGCTCACGTTTCCACAAATATGAAATCAGCATTAAGGGTCAATATTGAAAAATATTTGACTTCGTAAAACTTCATTAAATCCGCGTCACCAAATAAAACCCTGTATTTGCAATAACTCAGACTTGCACACAAGCCATAAACCACTCATCTTTGATTGCCTCCAGGCACAGGAGGCTGTGACCTCCTCAAGACATCTTAGCACCAGGAGGAATTGCTGTGCAAGTTTCCATTTGCTGCAGCTCGTTTCGGGACACGTGGTGGGTTTTCCCCCACTAACTGGAATGTCCCACGGTGTTGTGAGACTCATTCTGCTCCTGCTTTCCCCACTGATTTGTTTTACACCAGCGAGGGTGATACCAGACCCCCTCTGCTTGGGGGAAGGAGTTCCTATTCATGTTTTGTGTGGGGTTGTAGCATTTTTACAGTGTGCCGTTAGCATGACTGATTACACGCTATGGGCACGTCAGGAAAACCTGCCAGATGCAACTGAAAATTGGATTCTCAATGAATAACTTGGCCTGAAGGTTTTTATTTTTTTTTCTTATGCTGTGTTCGTGCTGGAGAAGCAGCTCTGAAGGCAGGGTTGGAGTGAGATGAGAAGGGAGCTGTGGGCTGGATCCTACACCCAAGGACATCCCCAAAGATACTGGGGTGGGGTGATGGGTGTTGGACATACGGCAACTGGAACATGAATTTTGCTTTTAATGCTACACAGTGCAAACATTACTAATAGGTTAAGCATTCATACATCCTGTAATCAATTATTGGGGTTTAGTTCATCATCTCAAGGCTTCTTAATAATAGAAATTCACTTAAGGGGACTTCTTTATGCCCTGACATTGAAACAAATGTTCCTTGTAAAGTGTCAAGAGGCGGGAAGAATTTAACATACAGGGATAAGAAAATCAGACAGGAAACGTTCCAATGATCATATTTAATATCTCTGGGTGAGGTAGCAGATAAACAGGCCTAAGGAACTTCAGAGAGTTTGAAACCTTTTGCTTTCCAAGCCAGACTGGCCTTTTCACAGACATACTCCTTAAAAAAATTAGGTACCAAAAGATTTATTGGCTGGAGAGGGAAAAAGTTTTAAAATATTTTTCTTCATTGCTTTAACATGAAGCAACTCACAGTGTGTGTGTCCCTAGACATGAAGGCAGAAGATTATTTCGTGATGCAACTATGCTTTGATGGAACAGGTCACTTTGTATACAGCTTGCTGTAAAGATTGGCTTAGTTGTTTAAAAGCTGGATTTGTGCTCCCCTGAATATGTGTAGACATAAGAATTTGGTTAAGCCATCATATACTTTTTTTAATGTCTTGGAGCTCAAAATTTCACCTTTTGCTGTCTCAAATGCTATCATATGCCACGTTAGATGCTTATACCACTGATGTACTGATGGCTGGTGTGCAAGTTCCTGCAGCCAGGGACGTGTCCAACAAGGCCCTGTACAAAATGGAAATGCTGTTTAGCATACAGTGGTCTGGTGGCTATTTTAAATTATGCAAAATTGTTTCTTCACTCCTTATTTCCAAAGCTGAAGAAGGTTTCTGTAAAGACTGCTGGCTGAAAAGCAACACGATAAGGAAGGAGATGAAGGAGTTGGCAGCAAGAGACCTGTAATATTTGCAAAAGGAAAAATGAGGAAGTGAAAGAAGCAGCCCTGATGGAGAGAAAAAGAGACGCTAAGGAAGATGTTTCCTTTCCAGTGAAGACAATAGCCACTTGCTTGACAAAGCAAAGTGGAGCAGACAACAGCAGGAGAAGCGTTTCCAGTGGTTCTCACAGAATTGGAACACGGAGTTTTCTTTGGCAAACGAATTCGCTGCCAGAGCCAAACGTCTTCAGAAACAGCTTATCCTCTGGTAGCTGCCTTTCGCTTAAACACTCCAAAAAAAAGCCCCTGCAAAGCCCTGTGAAGCATGAGGCCATTCCAAACACAATCAGTTAGATAAGGCAGCGTCCACTCTGACTCAGCCACTTGTTCTAGCGACAACTCAGTGATCTCAGTGTGGAGAAGCAGCTTGGGGCCGCCTGTTGCCCGGCAGGACGTCATGGATTAGGTGCCTACGGACGGGCTCAGCCAAGATGCAAAGACCAAAGGGGGGAAAATCCCGCTCTCAGATCCTCGGGGCTGACCTCAGACCCCCAGGTCTGTGAAATCAGGGCACAGATCTGCTGCTGGATGTGCATTTTTTCACTCCTGGGAGAAAGCACTGAGCGGAGGAGCAGCAGTCGCCCACGAGGAGTTTGCCCACTTGTTTTCTGATGTTTGATGGGAGGGGGGGGGGGAAGAGGCCGAGGGACAAGAATTATCAGTCTCTAGCATTCCACAAGAAAGGGGTTTTTTTCTTCAAGGGCATACATCAAAGTTCCCAGATAGCTGCATTTTAAATCCATTCCTTACAGGGCAATGATCTGATGGAGGGGGAGAGTCTCTGGGGACACACTGGCTCATGAGAGGAAATTAATGAATGGCATGCAGCTCATACACTGCTGCTTATGTCCTTGTTTGTCAGCCAGCAGCAATTAGGAAGATTCAAGTCCAGCTGAAGCGTGGACACTGGTTGCCAATTTGGCACTGGCTTCCCTGCTGTCAGGTCTTAGTTGACAAAACATCCCTGTTTTAGAGTGACTCACACATTTTATCTCTGTTTTAAACAAATGATGAAAAGCACCTGCAATGGCACCAAGAAATGCTAGAATATCTTCATTATTACCTAAATGTACTTGGGGTCAGTGTCATGTACTCTATTTAAGTCACACATTCTATTTATTTATTTAATAAATAGAACATTTAATAAATAGAATATTTAATATTTAATGTTTATAGATATTCATAAATAGAATATTTAATAAATAACACATATTTATTCACCTCTGAGGTATAATTTCAAGAAAATAAGTGGATAAAAGAAGAGTCATACTCTCTGTCAGTTTGAAGCCATCCCTCCTTGTCCTGCCACTCCAGGCCCTTGTAAACAGTCTCTCTTGAAAATTAAATACACAGTTCAATCCTACAGCCCCATAATGAGTAGAAGGAGTCTCTTCATAAAAGTTGGACAGTAATTATTATTTCCTTATTTTCAGATGTATTACTCTTTGAAATGGAGATGTGTAAATTTAGTTCTATTTTTAAAGTTAACATTTTGCCTCTATTTTATTACCCTCTTCTGTCTTAGCATTGTCTGTCTCTGTGGTGTAGAATTATTTTCAAATATGAGACATAACGACTTATGCTCTTATTAAAGATGGAAATCTGTGGAGGATTGCTGCTTATTGTAAGGGGGATAGGAATTATTTATTTATTTAAATTTAGATGTGCCTGGCACTTCTAAGTCAGGATATAAGGGCTGTATCCCCCCTCACCACACCTCAGAAGGCCAGGTTTCTGCCTTCTCAGCATGTGCACAGTTAACAGAACAGAAGATGCGTCCCCACTTTGCATATTCCAACTTTCAGCACCTCAGTTTGATTCCTTTTCCCCCATTCCCCAGAGGGCTTATAAAACAATCAGGACACTAATCATCCTTGACTGTTGGGTTTGGATCCCTCTGTTCCCAAGCCCTGACACTGCTTTGGTGGATATTACAGTGGAATTGGAATGG